ACCATCCTTCGACGCGTCGCACCTGGTCCGAAAAATACGAAGAAATGGGTCCCGTTTAACGAGGTGAAGGGGGGGAGGGCCCCCACCGCAGCAGTGAGAGGCGGGTCGCACATGGAGGTGAGAGCGCGGCATTCGAAGACAGAGTCAGCGCGTACTTTTTGGACGAATGCTGTCGTGAATTCGCGTTGAAATAGGGCATGGAGAGTCTGCGTCATGCATAATGTGGCCAGGAAAATGTCGGATAATCAGACAACAACCGTGCGGCAGCCCTGTCAAAAAGGGAATGGACGGGGGGGGGTGTCTCCCAGACAGCAGTGCTTTAAAACCTCCGCCGCCGCAACAGCAGTAGGCCACCATGAGCAAAACACGCGCGATTCGAACCATCGCCATGTACTGCTGTTTTTCTCTGCTATCGCCCCCCCAAAATCACGCGTGTCCCTCTCGCTCGATCACCCTCTGTCTGCCTCGCGCCCCCCCCTCCCGGGTTCCGCTGAACTCTGCTGCACCTCCTTCCTCGCCTGAAAGTCTCGAAGAATCCTCCGGAGTCGTTGAAGTAGAAGGCGGCGAAGGCCGACTTGGCGTCGTTGAGCGTGCGGAGGATCAGCTGGTCTCCGGTTGTCTCGATGAACAGCTCCTTGCCCACCTGCGCGGCGCGAGAAGCAGCAGCAAGGGCAGCGGTCTCGAGATGATTGATTTCTCTCGCTCGTCAACTTGAAGACGCGGCTACCTCCGCCCCTAAGGGCGTGTTTTACTGTTATGTAAAAGTGGCACCCAGGTAGAGGCCCTGCAATACCCAGACTTTGGGGGGTTTGGGGGCCAAAGACTGCTGTTGTGAATGGCCAACAGGGTCAGTGGGATGCTTTTCGCTGCCCGTACCAAGTGGGAAGGAACTGGCTCCAGGGTGGAGCAAAATCAGAACAAGGAAAAGCTTCAATAGCAAGAGCACAACCAGATTGGGATTGCACCCCATGTTATACACACCCCCCCCCCGTGGGCTCAACTCGTTTTGGCGTTGACCCTGATAGCGACGTTATGCGATCGCAAAAGAACAAACCGCACGGGTTGCGCCTACACATATGTCCAGATGAATAGGAGTCCTGTAAAAATTACGGAGGCATTTCTCGGAGCTCAGAGCCAGGGACATGTATAACTACCTCCACGAGACAATGTGCCCGCTACGGTACAGGCAGAACCTGGCATACAGAGGAGGAAACCAGCAAGAATGAATAGACTATGTAGGTTAGAATACACACCAGCCGTCTGGGCTGTGTGCGGGCTCGGGTGTACAGTAGGTGTCCCGGTATAGTGCCGGTTGAATAGTGCCAAAGTCCAGTATAAATTAGTGCCGGTTGAATAGTGCCAAAGTCCAGTATAGTGCCGGTTGAATAGTGCCAAAGTCCGGCATAGTGCCGGTTGAATAGTGCCAAAGTCCAGCATAGTGCCGGTTGAATAGTGCCAAAGTCCAGCATAGTGCCGGTAAATTTTCTTCACACAGACACAGGCGTGAATAGTGCCAAACTGCTATAGTGCCGGTTCAGGCACTATCGAACCCCTCAATAGTACCGGTTCACCGGTTCACACCCCACACACAGCATTTTTTCGCCTCAAGCCTTCCACACCAACAGGATTCGGAGACGGTTTACCTTCGAGCTACAAGTAAGCTCGGTCTCTGTCGGTACGCGTGGCGTCTTAAAAACGTCATGGTTTACCGATCGACCAAATTCCACCACATCAAATTCAGCCAATAGGTTGGGATTTCAGTAGTGAGGCGGGCGAAAAGGAAGAGGGTGGTAGTGACGAAGGATGTGGAAAGAATAATAGCGAAGGATAGCAGTGGTGATGGAGGAGGAAAGTATGGCGTTGAGGGGAACAAGAGTTTCGAGCCAGATGACCTTCCTCACAACAAACGCCACAGGGGGGCAGAGTCTAGACTTGAACGCCCGAAATAGTGGAAATATTAGGCGACGAGAGCAGCAGAAGTGAGTGGTGGCAAATACAAGGATGAGTGATGAAAACACCCCGAAAACGAACGTGTGTTCAAAGAACATATTTGGTAGCGTTGGCAGACACGTGCAATTTTCCTCTGTTGCTATTTGTACCGTTTCTGTCTTTTATCCGGATAACAGGGCTCAGCTTCCTCCATGACACCCTCTGACGGGGTCCCAGATCAGGGCTCGAGAAACATATGTTTTCTGTTTTCAACCGCACTGAGACTGACGTCTTTTGGTTCGCCAGTTTCTGAAGGCTTGGTCTTCTCTCTTTCTAGTTTTTTGTCGAAGGAACAGGGGAGTTTGATATCGTCTTCACCCCTTTTTTGGTTGCATCTGTTTTTGTTGTGCTCAAGTAAGGAGCAAGCACTACATCCATCCATGTTGTACCTCGAAATAAATGTACATCGGGCGCGTGCATGAGCGTCTTTCTTTCGCTGTCGAGGAGTGCCTTTGAGGTTGCCTGAACAGTGCTACGGCCTTCTTGCCACAACAATACATCATTTGATAGCGAGTGCCTGTTGATCGGGCGGCACGGTCTACGGTATAAAGGCAGCGGCGACGTTCACTGCCTTAGGGTGTGCGCTGAGGTGGGAAGAGAACCATGGTACACCAAATGAATCTGGTCAAGTTAAGCTTAATGTGACTTCGATAGGCTAAATAGCAGCCTCACGAAACTAAAAGAAGCCCGCCCACGTTGCCCTCCTCACAATTGACCCGTATTCCGTTCGTTTGTTACTCTGTCAGCCCCGCAACACGTAATGCACCGTGAAGTCGAACAGTCCTCACGAGCTCACGAGTGCCGGTTTGGCACTATTGAGGCACTATCAATTCTGAATAGTGCCGGTGGCCGGTATGCCGATCCACCCCCCCTGCACACATACTGGCACTACGTTGTACTGGGACACCTACTGTAGTACTAATTTGTACTGGCTTCAGAGTGGGGGCGAGAATGAAACAACAGACCCCCCGATCGGTTTCTTTGTGCTGACACTGCCAACGGTCGGCATGTTGTGTCTCTCGGCAGACAACTGCTGTTGCCACATTGATATGTTTGGGTAGACACATGTACTACTGTAAGCGGCTACGGTGTTGTCGGTACCTGTCACTATGTAGTGCTGTAGATTGTATCCAAACAGTGCTATGTACATAATACTGCTGCTTGTATTATGACCTTCCCGCCGCTCTCACCTTCATCAAGCATTGCACGGCCTGGGCGAACACCTTCAGGCTCTTGTGGGGGATCGAGACCTCCATGCGCCGAGGCGGCCCGTTGGCGTTCGACTCCCTCCACGTTGACCCCCTCCTGAACCCGCGCCCGGACGCACTCCTGAGCGGAGGGCTAGGCCTGCTGCTGCTGCCGCTGCTGCCGCCGCCGCTGGGCTCCTGGTCGCTGCTGAGAGCCTGCTGGAACATGTCGGTGTCTGCTGCTCGCCGTACTCCAAGATTGATTCCCCGCTGAAGCCTTCAACTCAAGCAGCACTAGCAGCAGGGCGCCGAGGAATGCACACCCAGTGTACACGCGCTTCCCCCAGCAGATCGAAACAGCTCCAAGCTCCTCCGGCTTTCAAATTCAAATTTTTGCGCGAACACACACAACGAATCCGCTCCGATGTAGATCAGTCGGCTCTCTGGGCGAGAGCGAGCTATGTAGCCAGATAGATGCCGAGGTGGACAAAAAGGAGAGGAAGAGCCGTCGCTCCCCCGAGGTTCACGTTCTACCCTCCTCTTTCACTGTTCACTCGCTGTGCCAACGGTACGACAAAGCGTGCGTTGCCATCGGCTATCGGCCTGTAGGGGGGCTGTTTTGCTCCCCATACCCCACCCCGCTGAACTCATTCCCGTCAGCGGTGACTCCAACTCGGTGACACGTCCGGTGACAGGTGACAGCAAAACCAATGTCTCTGTGTGGTGCATGACTTTGGACTATTAGAGCAGTTTTGTTGTTGCAACCAAGAAACGCAATATAAGTAGAGCAATAGCAAAGAAGCACCGTACGTTGTAGAAACGAAAGCAAAGCGCTCGCCGCCGTTGTGCGTGTTGATGGCAACGAGACACCAGCAGCAAAGTACAAAAAAGAGCACCGAAGGAGGGGCTCGAACCCTCGACCACAAGATTAAGAGTCTTGCGCTCTACCGACTGAGCTACTCCGGCACGTGATTGGGTGACAGCAGGCATTGGGGATTCTACATAGTACTCGGAGAATTTTCTTCGGCTGCCGAATGGTCTGCTACGTATTATGTACCTGATCTGTGGGTCGGGTCTAATAATAATGCAGGCGGCCAGGATTTGATGCAGAGACAGGCAATGTCTACGGCTAGAAATGTCGCTCTCGTGAAATTATTTTTTTCTGCCCATCAGGTACCGAGGGGTCTACTAGGAATAGGAACACACAACGCCTTGGATGCACACACGGAAGCCAGTACTTATCATGAATACTCCAGAGATAGTTGAACACAGCAGTATGACATGTTGTTGGGCCCGAAGCGAAAATAAATGTCTTATTACCAGGTGCAACAAACTAGGCTTCTGTGCATATGGTTGCGCTCAATTTTATTAACTCTAATTTTTTTCACGCGGTCAACTCCCCGCGGCCTCAAGAAAAGAAACACATTTCAACAACGACGTTAGGTAGATCTGTGCAGCCTGCACTGACTGGGTCGAAGGTGGTGTTGGCGGCAACATCGATGATGCCGCAAAACGTCCATGGTTTTTGCCTGTTGGCCCCCAACGTCAACGCATAGTGGTATGAGTGTCTACGCACGGAGGATATACTCCACAGCGTACGGGCCGAACAACAAGCAAACTAACAATTGTTAACTGAAACAAACGCTGCTCAAGAAACAACGGTGCTGAGAACTGGTTGTAACCAGGTTTCATGAGTTGACGGCACGAGGTCATACATCCAAGGAACGGTTGTTGTGTTGAAACCCACCTTCAACCAGCAAAAACAAAACACACACGAACACACAGGTGCCGCCGACCGCAGCTACCAATTTTAGACCCCAGAGCAAGGTCACAATCAATCGTCATCAGCCTGACGGTTCGACACTCCGCCGTTTTTACTCGCGGTCACTGAACTACAAGCTACCTGCTGACAGGGGTCAACACAAAGAAAAGAGGTGAAGAGTTGTATCAAATCGAAAAACGGGTGATAACATCCTTTTACCCTCATCGGCTCTCTAACCGACAACCTCCATTATTTTTCGCTTTGCGGAGAGCTACCCGCGCCTACCTCTCTGCGCTCGGAGAAAAGGTGCGCCCTAAAAATGGGAACCTTTTCCTTTCCTTCGCTGTCGATGCGTCATTAAATGAACAGCAGCAGCACCGTTAAATTTTTCAACCCACCACGGCACCAGCAACATGTAACAACGTCTAGAAACAACCCTCCTCTATCAACCTTCTACCGCAGGCAGAGGTATCGTACTGATACACACACCCATCCCAAACGCGTCCTTGCGGGGGCCCGAAATAATAAAGCGGAAGAACAACGACGACGCAAAGCCTTCCGTAAAGTTCTACAATACGCGTGCTGCCAGTGAGTCCCTGTACTCCCGCCCCCCGCGGCACTGTCAGCTTCACGCGAGAAAGTCGCCGGAGGACTGAACATAAAGCACCCTCCTGTCGTGATGCGAATTGGGTGTACTCTCCGAGGGGATGACAGACGAGACATGATGGGAGTGCACGCACGCGTATGCCTACACGCGTGACAAAACCTACACAGATGTTGAGGTGCCGAATCCAACACACACTTCTACTACAACACGCGGAAAAACAATTCCCCAACCAAAAAAAAACAGCGGTTTCTTCTCCTACAAACCCTCACGCGCCAGGGGACGGAGAAGAAGGAAGGACACACCCTGCAAGGCAGGAAAATTAAGACTTGCGCGCGCAACACACAAACTGACGCTAGCATGGGAGAGCGAGATGATGCAGCAACAATGCTGATGTCTTTTGGTATTGAGCCTTCTCCTCGTACTTCAGAAGAAGCACAACTCTGTCGTCCAACTCCTGCGTGCCCCCAACCCCTTTCGACTAGAAAAAATGTTTTGGTTGTATCCCGCTAACGCCTCTTCATTGGCCAGCCGCGGTCGATGCCAACCAAGAAAATACACACAAAACACACACCGATGTGAACGGCACAAGAGTTCCTCGTTCTAACACTACTGGTGAAGGCGCACTTGCTCCGTGGTGTACTCCCAGGCCGTCAGGCCCGTGAGGGCCAGCGTGAGCCACGACGAAAGCAGGGCGGCGAAGATGGAGTGGGACCGGGCGACCAGCACCCACGCGAGCGTCAGCAGCAGCAGCAGGAAGGCCAGCGTGGCCTGCGACCCCCACGGCTTCCAGTGCACCAGGATCGGCGCGAAGGGCCATGCCGCCACGAACAGGAACAGGAGCACCGTGCATACCTTTGGTTGGTTGGGGGGGGGGGGGGCAGGGGCAGGGGGAGGCAGTCAGCCCACAATGAAGGAACCCCCAAAATTTAGTAAATAATAAAACGTATTAAATGGTACGAAGATTAATACAGTAGGGAAAACCCAACTACCCGCCCTCCCCCCCCCCCCGGGCCCCCTAACTTTACTTAAAACCCGCTTAAGCCCCGGAAAAGGGGGGAAGGCCCCCCCCTGAAAAATGGGGGGGGGTCCCCCCCCCCCCCCCGGCCCCTGTTCTAAAGGGCCCAAAAAACCCCCCCGGGGCCCCCCCCCCCCTCCAAAATCCTTCCTAAAAAAAACAAGGGCCCCTCCCAAACGGTTTTTTTTTCCCCCCCCCCCCGCCCTAAAAAAACTTTTTTTTCTTTCCCCCCCGGAAAAAAAAACCCCCCAAAGGGGGGTTGTTTTAGGAAAAACACCCCACCCGGA